AACATAACTGCATGAGCTGATAGACTCGTCAACGATAGCAACAGGGCTCTTGGTAAGGTCTGTAGATCAAGACAAGTCATTCTGTAAAGCGAGTTGCGTTTTTCAGAATGCCTGCAACGTTTGGTATGCTGGCAGCCTTCGCGAGTGGCGACCGCGGTACACAACATCACACATCGACGTGTCAACCGATTGCGCCCGTCCTGCGACGAACAACAAACACTTAAACCCCAAAAATGGCACGCTTGTACTATCAAAGATGTTTGCTTTTACCATATACCCTTCGTTCTTCATACTTGACCGCCACTCTGCTGCAGTCCCATGCATGTACGCGTTTGTTAGTCACAGGACCCGCGGAACTTGAAGTAGCGCAGCGGTAGGTATTTTGAACAGATACTTACAAGGAGGGGAATCCGGTGTTATCTATCTATTACATAGCGAAGAGGTGACTTCCCTGACGTTGTGTTTGTTCACACGGTCTGAGAAAGAGATAGCTCTGGCGATATCGACATGCATCCGTTACCTGTGAAAGCGGACCATACCTGGGAAGTGGATCGTAGCAGGGTCAGACTGGGCCATTTTGATCGAGAATTTAGGTCCGATAAACCGTATCTTGAACAAAGTCACGCTCTTAGGCTGAGCGCAGTCCCAGGCTGCATACCGTGGGTTGCATGGGCCCACCGGAAACATGGAGCTCAGTATGCGTAGCACGTAGCCACAGACGCAGGAATGCGACCTGCAATACGCACACTGTTTGCCGTTTGGGCGGTGGAGTGCTTGCACATCTGCCTTCACTTGCTTTCACTTGCTACCGCACTACGAGGTTAAAATTCCCCACGACCCGCTTCCCAACAGACCACCACCGCCCACCGCCCACCGCTTGCAACTCACGCCATCGACTGAACAAACTGGTACCAGGAGCTACAGGCTCTTCTACATTACCTTTAGGCCTTTTGGTCACTGGCTAACCCATTCTTCTGTAAGCTTGCCTTCGAGCAGCCCGTAGCTGCCCCACCGACAGTGTACCGCACAAGGTTCTTTTGACGCGCTGACAAGTCACTGCAGACGTACTCTTGCTTGATCGCGCTCGGGTCGGACGTCAGAATGTCTCGTAGGACTTACTCAGATCGCGAGGCGAGGGACGCCCAGCAGCTTCTCGACAAGATCTACCGCCATGCCAGCTACAACGATCGCTGGGATACACTACATGAGCAGCCGGAGCAATATAGCACGAGAGCTGTCCTCGGTCACCGCACGTTCAACCTGGCATCCGCTCGCGCGGATCCTTGGACCTTGGAGGGCTTGAGGCAGTTCGTCATTGGTCTCGTGAGGCTGCGAATGCAAGCAGATTACATCGCCCTCCCCCTCAACGCCGACACCCAGATGTCGTACTGTCTACCACAGTCGTGAGTCGGCACCTATCTACCTTAATGTTTCTGCACAAGCAAGCTAACTTCTTTTGCTTACAGGGTGGACGAACATCCAACATATCGTCTCCTGATGGAAGATCCTCTCTCCTTGACTGCGGAGAAGCTCGCCCACATCATGCCCTTAGTAGAGTGGACAGCAGACTCCGACAAGGTCGAGGGCGAAGACCGCACTAATCGTCTTTACATCCGCACCTTCGCAGTGCGCGTTGGACTCCTTCGTGGAATCTTAATCGACATGATTACTGATGGCTGGGACGGTCTGGAGCGGGTGCGCTACTGGCAACAGCGCATTGAGGACGAGAACGATGATGATACAATCTTCACACTTCGCTATTGTGGTCAAACCAAGGGCAGTCCATGGGAGCGACATACCGGAGATATGTACAGCAGCCTTGAGACTTTTCTCGGTCGCTTCATGGTCTTGCTTGGGCAGTCTGATGAAGGCAAGAAGGTCCTTCACGATGTCAAGGTACACACTGTGGCTGGTGCGATTGAGTATGTGTCTCAAGACCGAGCCGACCTACGCGAGCAAATCGTCATCGCCCTGTTCCGCGACTGCTTGCTGAACACCCAGACCGGAGGCAAAGATGTCATTATCATTTATAACGACGACCGCCGTGCTTTCGAGCTCTTACACACTTCGACAGGTAGGCTCTTGCAGAGTCAGACACGACCCTGTACCACCGAAGAGCTTGCCGAAATTGAGAGGTATGGGCGTCGTATACGCCGCTATGTCGGTAAGAACCCGAGCACTACCCAGGGCAGGGTATTCAATGACCATGTTGAGGCCATGATTGTCCGTCAAGCTACACCTGCCATGTTGCCCAATGGTTCAGCTTTGATGGTGACTATCGCATCAGACCTCGGTCAGGATCACGACGCGCTCGAAGACACCTTCTGGGAGGCAGGTGGTCGATCAGCTGAGACTGTCGGTCGTATCTACAATTTCTTTGCTGCTTGGGAAGGAGCTACAGCGCTTGAGTCTGTCGATCCTCTGAAGTACAAGAAGCTCGCCCGAGACAACTATCTTCCCCTCGTCGACCGATATCCTTGGTACTGCATAGACGATAAGGACACACCCAAGGCCTCAGAGCTTCTGCGTCGCTACATAAACGCCGCCAAACCAATGATCGTTGTCGCATACGGCGAAGAGGTGAATATTCACTTTTCGCTAACTATATATTAAGCTTGCAGACGCTAATAAAACCCAGCAAATCTTCGCAGCCGTGACCAACTTCGCGGACACAGACACTCGCGCTTTTAACTCTTGGTTGAAGCGGTGTCGCACGCCCGGTTATGCACCCCCTCGTGGTGTACCCTTCCTGGCATACTTTGACGGTCAAGACTCGAACAACGACCCAGAGACAGCTGTTATCGTGATCCCGTCTCTACATCCTGGCTTTCCTAGTCGGGCTGGTAAGGTCAAGGACAAGGCGGTTCGCGAATTCATTTTCTCTGCTGGTGTAGGCTGGTGTACCATGTCTTGTGCGCTAGCGATCGCCAAGTCCAGTGCTGGCATCCCTACCAGCCGCAAGGCTTACGCGAATCAGATCATGGCTCAAGTAGATCTGATCGCTGGCCCAGGAACTGAGTACCACAGGCTTTTCACCAATGCAAAGCGCGAGTACAGGGAGATCTACGAGGTCTACCAGGCGGCTTCCGCCAAGCGACGCGATGCTCCACGGTACAAGATGCCTACGAAGATTGTACCGCATAAGTCATTTCGTGCAGCCAGGAGGAGCAAGTTCACCGGCTCTGGTGTGCCTGTACAAGACGCGGTCGGAGGGTGGGATGTGTCTATCAAACCTACTTCCACTACATCATTCTACAAGCTGTCTTGGGAGGAGGAAGATGGTACATCCTGGGAACTTCCATCAGTACACTTGAAAGGAAACACCATTCCAGCTACTGCGATCGAGAAGCGTCTACTATTCTTGTAAGTCCAAAGCATCATCTGAACCTCAATAATACTGATTGGTCATTAGTAGCCAGGCTGGGCTTGATGTGCGGGATGCAAGCAACAACACACTAGGCCCTCGAACACCTCTGGCGTCGAAGAAGGCAAAGTCTGTCACGCTGCCTATCTCTATGATCTTTCTATCACTGGTCGTGGTCAGCCTGGACAGTGCGCTCGCATTTATGGAGCATTGGGAGGACATAACGCAACATAACTTCATCGCTGAGATTATGTCTGAGCACCCTAACGCAACTGCAGATCAGTCAGAGGGGTTCGTGAGTGAGGATTTCTTCAAGCAGTACCCTTCGTGCCGAAGTCTGCCTTTCGTGCCTTCGCCAATCAAGGCATCCTCATGGACTAGGTTGAAGAACATGGTCCAACCAGGACTTCCCGCGCAACCTAGCGACCTTATGTGGCTTCTGGAGCAATTCCTACTCGAGACATTTCCTGGTGGTGGCCATCTGGATCCTGTCAGCTCATCAGAACACCCAGTGTACTCTGTGTACTCCCAACTGATGAACTTTGCCTGTCGCCCAAAGTACAAGGAGCATCCACACAACATCACGCTTAGGGCTATGGCTCATATGACTGAGCAAGGTCTTGATGAGCGTCAGGTGTCATTGAACATCTTGTTGTTGGCTTTGGAGTATCTGCGACCCGGCTACACTGCGTCCAAGAAACACAATCTGCGCCGCACTCTCCCAAGTGGCTCCAAGATCGACACTGTGCGACACTGGAAAGTATTCAATGCTGGTCCCGCCGATCCGAGCGTTGTGGCGCGAGTCACTCTTCCAAAACCTCACAAGCCTGAGGACGACTTGGGTCACGTCAGTGATCACACAGTGGACAGTTCGGACGATGATGGTGGCCCTGTCGGCGTTATTCCAGACGCTGCATCTGTACACGCTGCCAAGGGTCATAAGGCTGGTTCAAGCGGTGCAGGTCATGGAGGCGATGCAGACCGGACTGAGGGTAAAAGTGGCTCAGCCAAGAAGGGCAAGTCCGCTGCCGACGGTCATTCCACCGCTCGCAAGGACGGTGCCAACAAGAAAAGGAAGAAGGACGACGATGACGACGAAGACCAGGATCTCAAACCCAGTAAGCGTCGCGACCTGAAGAAGGCCAGTAGCGCCAAGATCAAGCGTCGCAACGCTATCTGAACCTGATCGAACAGGCAGAACCCAGCAGGTCTTCTACGAACGACGAACACTTTGTTGCGCTCATCTCACATTCGATCACCATCAATGTAGCCGACATGCACGGAGGGTTTGGAGGATGATCACAACTTAAAAGAGCTTAGACATAAAGGGTGAGAAAATCGTTAAGGAAACACACGCAACAACTTCAGCAGTGATCATCTCGCTAGATTAAGCAATGAAATGATGTTGGTGCGTAAACATTACTAAAGTAAGCTGCGCCATTGAGCTTGGCAGCTGGTCATGTGCTGCATGAAACCTCACAAGCCGAGGCTTGTTGGACTTGTCCATGCGCGTCAACCCTCACAATATATCTAGTTATATTGGGTGTGGATAGAACATCCATCATCAACAGCCAATAAAGGGCGCTTGGTCTAGGTAAGATTCAATGTACCATCTCTCACCAAGCTCTTCCTAACAGCATCTAGGGGTATGATTTTCGCTTCGCATCAATTGCAATTGTGAAAGGTCGTGGGTTCAATTCCCACAGCGTCCATCTTTTTGGTCTCCAGGTGACAGGAAGGTCTTTTTTTTTGTTAATGGGTTGACGAGTAGTGGAGCAGTGGAAGGGATTGTGATTGCTTTTTTGACGATTGTTAGTCGCAAGAAAAAACAAGATAGGTACTTTAGAGCGAAGCCTAAGACGTAAGCAGTTATGCTGCACCTTGAAGCTACTAAGCAGCCATTTGGCAACCTTTAGATATACAAATAACAGTTTGATATTTGTAGCTAATAGGAGGTTCATTGAGTAGCAAGACAGCCCTCGATAGTTACTGACTGCCTCCTGCTTATCTGTGATACTATTCACCCTGTGCGAAAAGCATGCATATCAAGGTTAGTTATAAGCATCAAGTTCTACATTTGCTAAGTGGCCGCTGCTCAGAAACTCCTGGGTGCGACAGGAACCACGACCTTTTACAATTGCAATTGGTGCAAAGCGAACTAATTGGCTGTTAGAACACGGTTCGAGCGCGCTGCGTCTACAGGCACCTCACACGTACTTGCCCAAATCGCAGGGCTTTCATTTTCCCCGCGATCTCTAGCAAACCAGGCGATATCGAGGTCTTGCAACTATCCCAAAGACTCACTTGTATGATCTCAGGCATGGTGAACACAGGTCTGGTATCACTCGAATATCGTTATTTGGAATGCTACTCTCTAGCGTGACAAAGTAACCCAAGAACGGAGCGAGCCTCAACGGCGCGACGTCATGAATAAACAACCGTACATAAGTTGAACTTCCCCTTTCGACGTGTCCTCATCTGTTTACCCCCCCGAACAACACCGTCACCATGGCTGCCAACATTCTCGACTTGCCCCGCAACTTCGTACGCAACGACCTCCACACTCGAGTCGCATACACACCAATACTAACTCACGCACACAGTCCCTCTACGCCATCCCCGCCGCCTGGCTTCTCTCCGCCGTGCCACACTTCTACGCAGTCTCGCTCGGCAAATTCGATAACAAGAACCCGCGCACCTACACGCGCGACACCGAGGGCGACCAGAGCATCGACAAAGCCACCAAGGCGAAGATCGTCCGCGCCGAGGGCGCGCAGCAGAACGGCTTTGAGAACCTGGGACTTTTCGCTGCGGCAGTCGTAATTGGCAATGTTGCGAAGCTGCCGAATGAGACGCTGAATACGCTCTCTGCGGCGTATTTGGCTACCAGAGTTGCGTACAATGCGCTGTATATTGGGGGGACGACGGAGATGCTTGGTAAGTGTGCGATGTGTGTGATGTGAAGGAGTTGCTGATTTGTGGTAGCTCGTTTGAGGAGTGTGTCGTTCGTGACGGGAATTGGAATTATCTTCACTTTCTTCATTAAGAGCGGGAATGTACTGAGGAATCAGTTGTAGTCTGAAAGACGGTAGAGTATCGGGTGATGATTACTATGTGTGGGTGCGTAAGAAGAGTGGTTGCTATGAGGACTGGTGTATCGGCAATCTATCTTCGATACTAGGACCTGCTACTTCGACAGCAAACGGTGCGAGCATTGCGCCTGTTCAATATGATCATAGAGCTCGATCATGTCATAGCCTGTGCTGTCCGCGTCTACGTCTAGAAGTACATAATGGTACAACCAGAGCGAACATAACACAACAATCCCTCCGGATCCGGCGGATATTATCAAACACAAGATTGAAATCTGGAGCGGTCAGCGACGAGTTCCAGATATGGGTTAATGAGCAGAGTCATACACTACGGTCAGCTGTCCAATTGCTTCTGCCTCTGGTCAACGGAGCGCAGACAAGCAGAGTCAGTCCTGAGAAAAGAGTTTCTGAATCTCAATCCAATCGCTCGACCAACTGCTTATGCTAACCATCACAGGTGAAAAATTATCATTACCATCGTTGGTGAAGATAGCACTTAAAGTACTGACGTTGTACCTCGTCCACGGAGGCTAGAACAACCTCCGTATCACAGCCGGCCTCTCACATTGCATGAATAATTGGCCGTAGCACACGAAAATGATTATAGCCTACAGGGCTGTTGTCTTCGTGCAAATGACGCATAGATAAACTCTACCTACCTCACCTATCTCAAGGGATTCTGCTCTTACGACCGGGTTTCTTTGCAGCTCGATAGCTGGCGCTCCTGCGGATTGGCCTTCAAATCGGGAAGATCGTCTTTCAACCCACCCGTTCCAGCCACTCAAGCAACGCCTCATGATACCTCTCACTATCCTGGATCTGCGGTGCGTGCCCCAGATCATCCCATTCCACCAACTTCGTGCCGGAAATCTTTGAAGCCGTCTCCTTACCCAGCACAGAGTAGTCACCAAGCTTGGCCTGAACAGCTGGAGGACTCCACGCCTTCCCAATCGCCGTGTTGTCCCTCGTACCAACTAATAACAGCGTCTTCGCTTTAACCAAGCCAAACTCATATACCACGGGCTGCGTTAGCACTGCGTCTGTGGTCTGCGCCATGTTGTACGCAAACGTCTCGCCTTCGCCTGGGAGACGGTATAGAGAGACTAGCATATTGACCCACACATCGTAGGCGGGGGACCAGGTGTTGACGTAGTAGGTCGCTTGCTGGTATTTCCGGATGCTGGTGTAGTTGGTCTTGAGCTCGTCGGCGTACAGGGTGTCGAGTGGACGCCAGGGAACGCCGAGCGCTTTCCAGTCTTCCAGGCCAATCGGATTGGTGAGTATTAGATGGGTTGTGGTGTCGGGATACATTAGTTGGAATCGGATTGCTAGCATGCCCCCCATTGAATGCCCGAGAACCTTTGTCTGCGATATGCCGAGCGATTGGAGGAGAGAGTTTGTGTTGTAAGCCAGTTGTTGAAGGGAGAATTGGTAGGCTAGCGGTTTTGAAGACTTGCAGAAGCCAATTTGGTCGGGGATTATCACGCGGTAGCCATGCGTGGAGAGGCGGCGCGCTGTATCTTCCCATGTTGCGCCGCAAAAGTTCTTGCCGTGGAGGAGCACGATGGTCTTGTTAGTGGAATAGCTGGTAGGAAAAATGTCCATGTAGGCCATTGAGAGAACAAGTCGCTGTGAAGTGATGTTATGATATTTCACTGGCCATGGGTAGGTGTAATTCCATGTGCTGGGCGGCACAATGGTCTGTCCAAGGACAGTCGTGACCACTATGGTCAGAAGGCAAGCCAGCGATCGCATTGCGTAGATTGCAGATTGAAAAGAAACAAACAGTTCTGCTCTGGGTGTAAGATCCGCCGAGATCTTATGTGTTATCATACCCCCGCATTTGCGTGCCTGGCACGCTGTACGATGATGACGGCCGAGCTGCCAATCCTGAACAGGTCCGCTTTGCGTCTAACCGGGAAGTGCATGCTGAGATTGACTTTTGACTTGCGTCTGAGTGCGATTCCAACGTTCAGGTCTCGACGATTTGTTCACCATTTGTGGAGCGGCAATGCTCACGCAAGACTCAAAGACCTTTGCAAACGTCGTTATTAAACTGTCCAGGATAGCTGACTGAACTTTACTGGAGGAACTATCCATATCAATGGCCCCATGATAGCTCGGAGCGGGTCTACAACATCTCTATGCAGCCAAGAAGAGAATCGCAAGATGGTGTTGAAGTCAAGAAGTGGAAGGAAGGTGCGCGTTGCCAGCCTAGGCCGAAGAGCGAAAGGCCGCCGTTGACGCTTCGCTTGCAATCCTCCGCACCCCACTAACTAACGTTCATCCTCTCTGTACACCTCTGCTTTGCCCTGGCATCGAGGATGTCATTTCCAACTTCCGGGTCCAAGTCCTGTCGCCACGCGCAGCCTCGTACCTTCGCCATGTGAGCTGCTCAGAGCCGCCTAAACGGCTAAATTGCGCACGCAACTCCGGGGAACTCTCCACAGAGCGGCAGATGAACTCGTCACCACGGCTTCGAGTCTGCGTTGCCATATCTGTTATCTTTTAGATCGTTGCTGCAGCCGAAGTCTCAATCGCGCTGCGACAGCTCGTGCATATGCTCGAGAGGACATGCGGCCACGAAAGGCGACATCCAGGGCACGCTGGCCTTCAACATCACAGGCAAACTATTCAGCCTAACCCCTGGTCTAGTCACGATCTGCCCTGAATATCCGGGGAACCCGCATGTTCGAAATGCTTGTTTTCGATAGCCTCATGTGGAGTATAACCTAGGGCCCGCTAGCTTTACGGCTGTTCATGTTGATCTAGGTCGCCATCCGGGCGCCCGGTATAGTATAAAGGGAGTCGCGGTCTCTATCCATGGAGACCAGGCACTTCATCTTGCAATTTTATCAAGAACGTCGAGGTACTCACGTCTTCTTCTTCACGATGACAGTACTCGCCACCTTGGTCGCCGTGGCGGCTGGCTTTACTAGTCTTTCTTCTGCCTCACCTGTCGAGACCACAAGCGCAGCAACCTGCAATTCCAAGTCTGCTCTCACTCTTATCTATCAGAACAACTTGAACGGCTCTGATGACAAGAACCACATCGGGGCTATCATTCTCGATGCTGTCTCCGCATCGAATGCCGCGGCTGCCTGTGCTGCGTTGAACGAGAAGCCGCTGTCCAAGTCTGCTCTGCAACAGCACCAGTCCGACTTTATTGACGCACTCGCGTACCAGGACTACGCCAAGTACTACGATGCTGGCAAGGGCTTCTACATCGATAACGGCATTGTCTCCGTCAACAAGCAATTGAACTTTGCCTCAGCCTCTGGATCCTCGAGCAAGGCTCTTCCGGTCCTTTGCACTCAATCTGCAAACAATGGGTCATCCAGTGCGGGACCTGCCAACGGGACACAGGTTTCTCTGACCTCAGGTGGCAACACCTTTGTGGGATACCGCAACCAGAAGTCTTTCCGGTTCCTTGGTATCCCCTACGCCGATACGCCTCAGCGATTCAAGTACTCTTCCATCTACTCCAAGAAGGGTCAGACTATTCAGGCTACTGCCTACGGCTCATCATGCGCACAAGGTGGCTCAGGCAGCGAGGACTGCCTCTTCTTGAATGTGCAGACACCATACATTCCCAAGACAGGATCGAAGCAGAAAC